GCCTACGGACTTATCGCACGTCCTATGGATTCAGAAGTGACGAACCACCCACTCGTTCTGCGATGGGATGAACAATTATTGATTTGCAATGACGGGCACGCCGGACTGGACTGTTCTTCGGCACCTTTCTAAAAAAACTTCCAAGACCACCAATTCGAGGCTGGGGGGCCTGATGAACCTTAGCAATCACCGGATATAGGAGCCCCTTGACGCAGGTTCCGCCCCTATGCAGGACCGATGGTCTCGGCCAATGGCTCCCACGCATCAGCAACCTGGACGCCCCATTCCACATCAGTGTCCGGGCTACGATTAGCTGCAGTTGTCCTCTGGTCTTTGCAGAGCGAGCTAAGGACGTAGCAAATTGCATGTCCATTTGTGGCTTCAGTTCCAGCACTGCACTAAGACTCTGCATCGGGGCAGATATTCTGCCGATTTGCCCGTCGTTAATCTAAGAGATTTCTCCGACCAGCAACCATGGCGCGGCGCTCGCACTAGACCACTGCATGGCCTTGCCCAGCAGAGATGCGAACCGCGACTACGGATAGTTTGATGGAATCTACTGCTCGTCATCCGGGGCCCTTCGGGGCTGTAAGGGGGCACCCATTCTCTCAGTCTTGGGTCTCCCTTGTTTGGACTCTTTGAGGGGCCCAGAACTGCCAGTGGGCGCATCCACCGCTTCCAGGACTGCGCCATGTTAGGCCCTGGATTCCTGCTTTCGCTGATTGTTTTCCATCATCCCAAGCCCGTCATCGAGGGGGCTGCGCAGCTCTGCCACGCACGTCCGCTGCTATACTACTGTACCCTGCCAACAGCTAACTCGTCACCGCCATTAGCTGCCCCAGCTATCACGCCATCTTGTCGTCTGGCCGTAATGCTTTAGGCACTTTGGCAGCCTGTCCGCACCACCCTCGTGCAAATCACGTACAGTCGGCCTCGAGAGCTTCAATTTCCACATTCACTCACAACAACTCACAACACGACACACAGACGCGGACTTCCTACTGTTTTGCAGAGGACACCGAGGAATATTGGCAAGGAGACCCCGGCGACAGGTGGGTTTTGCGGAGCAGGCCTTGTCACCAGGCCCGTTGGAAGGAACTGTACGCGCGCCCACTTCCGTAACCTTCACTCCATCAGTCGTCCAAGGGTTCAAGGATGGTGATTCCGCATCGTTCTGCACGGTCGCTCAGGAGATACAGCTTCCTACTTCAGATGCCCCTGAGGCGATGCATTTGCGCGAGCCGGTAGGTGGCCGTGAGAGACAACGACGCTCCACGATGGAGACATTAGATAATAAATTCATAAGCAATTTTGGTATTGCAGATAGCCGTGCACTGCCGAGGCCGTGGACCAAGATGCCAGACTGCTGCCAAAGTCACGATTTAGGAGTTCAAAGGGCATTGCCGATGAGTTGCGCCCACAACAAAAGCCTTGGAGGCGCCCATGCGGAGAACGGCGCTTAAGGGGAAGCCGTGCCGCGAGCATTACAACACAGTACGGCATCTCATCGCGAACTCTACGCATCCACCTTTGAGAAGCCTAGACAAGGGCGCACGACAGGATCAGACGAAAGGATACCTGGACCTCTACAAACGCCGACATGTCACCAATATCTCGGCGATGGCGAGATGATTCTGTCGTTGTGGACCCGGGGCGTCATGACTGAGTTGTCGATGCTATTTTCATGTTGGTATCCTCAAAACCCAACAAACCCCATAGGAGGCGTACCCCGCTCGGGATGGCAAGATTGGACAGGGTATAATCGGAGTTGCTCCATCCATTATGGTCGCGATCCCGGAGAAAAAGCCCTAAAAAGAAAGAGGAAAGAATGTTACCTGTACACTGGCTCTACGGAGCCTTCAAGCTTCTCAAAGCTGGTGTTTGGGCTCCAGACTAGCAAACTGGGGTCATCCGATAACTATTGAAAGGAGACCGTCATGGCGCGTCAACGAAGCCAAGAACGTTCCCGGAGGCACGATATGAACCATCGCCGTTCATTATGCGCCGCAAAATGCCATCGGCCTGTCTCCGCCGCTGTTGGAAGCTCCCTGAGCCTGGTGAAGCTTTGACAACTGGCCGGCCGGCACGGACACGTTGGTTTTTTTCTTCTTCTTCTTATTCTTTTCATCTAGAAAATCTTATTCTTATCCTGTTGGTGGTTGTGCCTAAAGATCCCTTCGCTCAGACAAACAGTCTCGGGGCATCCGCGGGCCAGGATTGGCCTGCCCCTAGAGGATACAACAGCAAGCGAGCAACGACAGTCATGACCGGATGCGGGATGCCTAACGTCTGTAGACTTATTCCTTCGTCCCCATTTATTGACTCCTTGGTTTGATATCCTGGTAACGCGCCACGTACGCGGATGACTTGTCTTGACTCTTGACGCCCGCACAATCAAGCGGGATGCGTCCATGAGCAAGCCGGCGGCGGTGGCATCCTCAGATCCATACGCCCCTCCGGCGACCCTTGAAGCGTGCCAGTCGAGCACGTCGTCTAAACTGGCTTCCAAGTGATCTCCATCTAGTCGGCGGCGCTATCCCAGGATCCTGTTAGCAGTTGATAACTGCAATCTCAGTTAAGCTGGTGGACCTCGGTCCTTGACGGGCAGGCTCGTCAGTTGGCCCAGGCTTCCTCATCCGCGAGCGAGCAAGCGCACATCAAACAATGACAGCTGTACCCTTGACGAACTCTTTCATCACCCGCCGTGGGATGTCTTCCTCTTCAATGCTACCTCGTCCCCGGCAGTACAAGCCAACCCAGAGAACAACGTTGGACTGCATGTGGGGGTTTCGAAGTCCACTTGGGCCACTTCCCTTTGCCGCGTTGAAGAATGGAGACAGGAGCGGAGACGCTTGGTGGGGTTTAGGTTTTTTTTTTTGTACGACGGGGACGTTGCCCATGCACGCAAAACTTCTCCAGCCGTTGGCAAGGATGAAGTCTCGTATCATTATCCACGGGGGCACACAGGGGGGGAAGGGGTTCGCCATGGTTCAAGGATCGTGAAAAACAACAACACTACGCATCACGGCACCTAGGCTGGGCTTTAACAAGGCGCAAACATGGACCGGCAGGCAGAAGGGGTTTATTCCATCCACATCAGGCACGCAGCGGAGAAGCAGGATCCGAGTTGGTTTCCCAAAGAGAGATCTGGACCCCAATGGCTTCATATCGCATCATTGGGCTCGGCAAAGTTGGTCCATGCAAAACTGCAGTCCCCGGAGAGATATGGTGGGTTCGGCACCAGACTCGAGGTCAGTCTGGTCGTGCGACCAGGCTGCAAGGCCGTTGTTTGGACGTTGTTTGGACGTTGTGGCAGTTTGGGACGATTGCTGCGTCGCCTCTTTGGCGTTGTTGCGACTCGGGCGGCATCATGTTGTGATAAGCAATGCCGGCGGGATGGACGAGGTGGTGGTGAGCCGAGTAACCCGCCACGACCAAGGCCGACATTAGCGTTGACCCGCCCCAAGCCAAGGTACCAACTATGGTATCAGCTACGCGACAACGACAAACAGCACGATCGACCCCGTACCAGGACGAGTAGTGTAGGATCCGAAACTCCCCACAGAGCATCCGTACATATGTAAACCGTCTTTAGACGCTACTGTACAGCACTGAAGACTTGGAGGCTTGGTAAAGGTCCTGTCGGGACAGTGGTGACGTAGACCACCTTTGGTGTACACACTGGGGAGAGAGAGAGTGTGTGTGTGTGTTGGGCAGATGAAGAAGCATCTGCCTCATCTTGGATACCATAGTAGGGGAATTCCAAATGAAGCGACGGACGGGGGCCTCATTGGTCAATGCGGCAACCGTTTCTCTCCCGATGGGAATTTGGGCAGAAAGCAAAGGAAATTTCCGATGCCGGCCAGGTACGGCTACTGCTGCTGCTGTCTCTTCCAATGGTATCCAATGGCAGAGACTCCGGGCCGCCAGCCAGAGAGGACACACAAGAGTCCCAGGCCAATGGAAACCGCTGCATCATCCCACGCCATGGCTCTCCAAGTTGGATGGCCATCCCAGCACACACTACTCCTAAACAGGGGGGCCTCTCCTCTGCCTGCTCGCCCTTTGCTGTGCAGTTCCGTTCCTCTGGGCCCCCTTTTGACGGCGCCCGTATAGACGACATTAGACTCATTCTCTCTAGTTGCCTCCTTCATCAACCCGGACCCAGTTCTTTACCGTCATGTCAAATCTCACATCCGACTGCCGTGTCGGCGTCGTCGATTCTTTACCCGCCTGCACACTGGACGACCCTTTGCTAGGCCGAATCTGGTCACGTCGTTGCCCCAGGCCTGTTAGACTCGCCTCAGGTAGTCAGGTCACCTGAACAATCGTCTGCTCTGCCGGCAAGGCAGGCCGGAGGCAATGCCTGTCGCGATCCGCTCTCATTTCCAACAGGAGGACCCCCGTTGCCCACCGCTCTCGCCTAACAGTTATGACGGCGGGTTTTGCCGCCCTTGCAGTGGGTTTGCGCAGGATGCCCTACCCGGTCCGTTTCCTAGGTACCATTCCGGCGGGCATAATATGGCCTCACCGCGCTGTGCGACCATTAAACTTTACGTCTCAGGAGGAGCTCGCGAGGGTTGGCGAGCGGCGGCCCGTAAACTCTGTTGCGCTGCGTTGGGCTTCAAGCGACTGGGGGCCAACAGAAGGATGCTTGCTTGCTTGCCGGCATGCGCTCTGCTACCGCCGCTTTCTTGCGTAATCTGGACTCGCGCCAGACCCACGGTGACCTATAACACACCGTTGTGATATCGTTCGACCAGTGCCAGTCAGTGCAGACATCACAGAGGCAGCTGACTCGCCCCTCTTGCGCGACCATCCGCTAGTGGTGTTGCAGCGTCTCGGTGGAAGTGAAGGACGGGTTTCCATAGCTGTTGCTGCCTCTGAGGAATGGCGCCGCCAGGTCGAAAGGTGCACTAGCGACAGCCTCAGAGGTTTCTGCTGCTGTACGGCAGAAAGAAACCCGTCCATGATCTCCGCCCTTGTGACACCACGCTACGATGATGATCCTTTTGGGGATACAGGGCCCCAAGACCGGTACCGCGCACCGAGACGAGGCGGTCCATTTCCGCAACGAAAACAACTCTGTCTCAGACGCCCTGCCCAAGGACGTTTGCTCCCACTACACCATGGGCGCCACAGACAGGTGAGCCAAGGCTTATGCGGCCGAGGTGGCATCAATGGAACCCGAACTAAACGAGGACCCCGGCAAGTATGTAAATCAATGAAGGCCAAGCTGTTGTGTGGCACCGACACCCGACTCGGCCGGCAGCGAAACCCGCGAATTCTAGTTTATGAAGCCTTGCCTCCAGCAGCTCACGATAGCTCCAGCGCTTCTCCGCCGGCTGGTTGTCTGGCACGAGTCCGTTCCTCGGGAACCGGCCATGCCTCCAGTCTCCGTGGGTTTTGCGCAGCACAATCTCCGGAAGGGTCCAACCCATGAGAGATGGGCTCGCGGGCGAGCCAAAACGACGCGGGCGGATGCGGGGGAACGCCCGGACGCAAAGGCATTGAGGACGAGGTGCTTGCAGTGTATGATGACCAATGGATGGCAGCGCGAAGTAACGCTGTACGACCGAAGTCGAGGCGGCCTACGACAACTGCGCAAGGGATGCTAGCGAGCAAGAGGCCGGGCTGGGGGCGGACGATCACTAACCCAGGGGCACCCGCGACGGTCTGCCCACTGGTCTGAGAGGGGGGGGGGGCGTCCTCCATCCCCGCACACTAACACACACCTAGCCAGGAACGAGCGTTCTAGCCCAGCCTCGAAGTCGCAAAACCTACGCCCAAGGACTTCGGGATGGCGGCCTTGACAACGTGATGCGCCTGGTTCCCCGCGACGAACCGTGGAACTGCGACATTGTTATCAATAGGATACGCATCACAGACGACTCAGAACGCCAGATAATGCCACTCTGCACTGGGCCACAGAAGCCACACGGGAGGGGGCCAACGGGGGCCTGATGGGGGGTTGATGGGGGTCACTGATCATCACGCCGTCGGCAGCTGACCGATCATGGCTGTGATAATCACTGGTCTGAGCCGAATTTCGAAGTTGCGTCGGGTCATGGCTCTTCTTTCTTGGCGGGTCGATCAGGCACTACCGTGCTGGGCAGAGTTGCGTTTGACATTACAGATTACTACAGACACCACAAACTGCGGTCGACACCAACGTTTGGGATCCCCAAGTTCCAGACGGCCACTGTACGGCCTACTGTACAGGTATGGCGTCAGCCGTGTGTGAGAGGAGGATCGCGCGGGGGCTGGAGTGGAGAACCTGGGAGACGACCTCTGGTGCATTGATCAAGTCTGAGGATCCGGGATCCCTCTTGCCGGATGGCAGGGAGGACATCACCTTGAGCCTCAACTTGGTACCATGAGGCCGTGAAGCTCCCGAGACTGCTTGCCACTATTCATCCGGGACCCAGTCGGATTCCATCACGGCGATGATTCTTTCCCCAATTGACCAAAGACAAGCATGACGGCGGCGCATCCTGCGCGTCCCGACTCCCAGATGACGGTAGATCCGGCACCTGCGGCTGTTCAGAAAGGGAGAGCGGAAAAGGATTCCAATCTGACAGCGAGCGGTATACAAACGCGAAAGAGAGTGCAAAGAAAACCAACAACAACATAAGAAAAAAAAGAGATGAGGGTCTGACAGCAGAGAGACATGTAAGACGTCTGTCTACCTGGAATCAGAATGCGGACCGGTTAGTGGTCAGAGGTTTGACATGTACGGATTGAAACATCTTCAACGGCGTGTGAGCTACCCGTCCTGGCCGGAAGTCTTCCGCGGATAATTCGCCTTGTATAGACAAGGGTGGGTGCCCTTTCTTGACTAGCCACTTCACTCACGTCTTGTTCTGTCTTGGCTTGGTCGTTGCATGAGGATTGCGCTGCCAGTAGGATCCTACCCAGGAGCTGCCAGAGAAGGGCTGTCATTGTCCGTCGGGGTCTAGCCGATGCTCGAACTGCCCACGAGGGCGCATTAGCGGAACCCCTTCCAGGGAATGGATGATGCCCGCGCACCGCGGTTCGCGCAAAGGCGGCGAGGTCACTGATATGGATCAACGTCAAAGTTTCTTGCAGAAGGGCGGGGTCGCGAGTGATATGACGAGCGATAAGATTGCGTTTGCCGAAGAGTACGGTTATATCGTACTCCAGCTATTATTTTCGCGTCCAGAAACCACCACCTGCATATTCGAAGCGCAAGGGGGGGCGGCAAGAGACCGTGAGGACATATCAGATGCCGACTCGTCATGAGACGCCGTTAGAGTCCCCCCACTCCCGTTTTCCACGCGCGGCCTGCGGAGAGTCGTCACTTTGCAAACTTGGAGTCTATGTGGACGCTACTAAGTTACGCACCCCGTCGACAAAGCCTATCGGAGAAAAGACAAATGGCGCAAGTAAAACTGACCTTGGCCCCAGGAGGTCTGTCGCATAGCGTCCTGTGCTCTAAAGACAAAGCACAAACCCTTTTTCCTGATCGTTGCCTGCAGGCGTTCGCAGCAAGGCAAGACAAGGCAAGACAAGGCCAGGTATAGCATGGCATGCATGGCATAACTGGACAGGACAGGACAGTAACACCGACAATCGGCAGTGAGGCGTTACTATTGTCTCGTCATTCTATATTGGATGACGCCCAAAGACAACTGCCGACTTGCCGGTAATTCCCACTGGCTACCGTAGGAGCGTTCCCCTTCCCCTTAGTACGGATGGTATTTCCATTGCGACTTACTTGCCGGCGTGTTCGTTCGAGACTTTGACAGTTGCCACCGCAAAAGGGGTCCCGGTTCCCCTTGCGCAAATGAGCTCCAACGCTGGGAGGAGCCAGCATTCGGGCGGCGCGCCCACTCCAAGCCCTCTGGACGTCAAACCGTTGGCACACGATTGGCAGCGTCACGTCAGGGGCTGTAGGAACTGTCTCTCTTCAGACCGAAGACGATGGCTATGCAGAGGTGGCTGGCCGCCGTCGTTGCTGCTCATACCCAAAATAAGTAGTCAAAGCGCGCGCGCGCGCGAGAGAGAGAGAGAGACGTAGAGCGGGTCAGTCAAGAAAACCACCCCCTCCTCCATCGCTGTTTGGTCTCTGCGAAAGGCATGACAGCCGCGAGAGGGGTTTCGCTCGTTCCGACGCTTTCTTGATCCCTCTCATCCCTTGCAAAGAGCCTTGGCGATGCTGCAAGCAGAATCGCAATAGGAAAGGCCCTCGACCCGCCAGGTTCGAGAAGACCCCAACTGCATGGAAGAAGTGGTCTTGTGGGCCATGCAGGAGCAATCGCTTAATTGGGATGCACGTCGAATGATCTGGGAAGGCGGGCGCATCAGCCACGGGTTGTTGACGCTTTGCATCGTCAAACCTCGCCTGGATGCACGTCGGGCGATGTCCTATGTTCGTTTCCTCGGCCCCATCGCACATCTTTGCGCGGGCAGCCCGACGTAACGACTCTGGCGCCGGAGATGATTCCCAACACTCCACGACATGTCACAATGGCCTGTCGCTGGGGAGGAGGAAACGATGCTGTTTCTCCTTGCGGTTCGCGCTTGAGCCTCCTCATCCTCCTCCTCCCTCCTTCTCCTCCTGCGTGCCATGGCAGCGGTCGTCCGATACGACGGGTCAGGTCAACATGACATTTCGAGGCTCGCCGTCATGGCCACGCACCTGCTTACGAGACCCCGCCCGGACCATAATGAATCTACGTGCGGCTTATGCGCGACGCTTACGTCCGACTGATGTTGCGTTGAAGGCCGCTGGGCCATGCTCGCTCTCCTCTCTCGGCTCCGCCGCGCGCCTCGTGGAATAATATCGGGTTTATTCCGGCCGAGCATCAGTCAGCCGGTTTTCCCTATGGTTCTTTTCGTGATGTCATGTCTGGGCGCAAACAGAAGCATTACCTATTTCCCTCCCCTTCTCTGCCAAGTCCCCTCAGCACGATGCTTACTTGCCGCACTGCGCCATTTCGGCCCTGCGCCCAAAACCCTCGCATACAGACGAACACTGGGTCCGGATGTCGTATGCTGGAAGCCGCGGATGGCTGGGCGTGGAAGAGAGTTTGAGTCTGCAGCCCCCAGGACATCGCTCACTGACTTCTCTAACGTCGAAACAGGGTCGCGCAGCTCCATGTCGCTGCGGCGGGCACCCTCGACTACTGCAGGTTGTTCCGAATTCCGCTAGTCTGTTTGCGAGGGGGATGCGAGAGAGGGAGGAATCTGGGCCCCCCTCCCGACACCATCGTGATCGACGCCCTAATGCCGTGCGTACATGTCTTCGCCCTCGGGTTCCAAAGGTGATAACGAACTCTCGGCGGTGCGGGCATGGGGGCGGGCAGCCGGGTCCGCAGCACCGGACGCTTGGATCATCTTTCTCTCACACACTCGGCTCAATCTGGCTAAACCCAGGTAGAGAGAAAGCTGACATCTTACAACTGACGAGCAACGAGATATCTTCATTAGAAAACCGCATTTGCCGTCCCGACCTCGATATTGCGGCCTTCCCTTCCACCCCTGGGAGGCCCTTTTCCGCCTCGCCAATCGACATGCTACATGCGCCTTTGTTGATTAACTCATGCAGGTCGTGCCGAGAGAGGATTGGCAAGAGGTCCGTCCCTCGGCAGATCCAACGTGCACGCCCGTACGGCATCCAGTCCGGTTGGGTATCCTGCTCCCCCACCAATCTATTTCCCAAAGATTACATCTCCATGCTTTGCTCTATGCAGGCCGGCAGATATTGCGGTGTAAGATGTAAAAAATGACTGAAACTGAAATAATGACAGATTCGACTTTGACGAAGGGCTCGCAAGCAACTCCAGTTCTGTCTCCTTCACTCTCTCTCTCTCTCTCTTTCTCTCTCCCTCTCTCTGTCTCGGCCAGGAAATACCGCAACCCGCGCATGACTGCATAATCGGCCTGCGGCTCTCGCTCATGTTCCGCGACGCTATCGTATCCCTTCTTCGATCAGTTTCCACAGAGTCTTAGTGCCGGAGCACGGGAATCCAACAGTCGCCGAGCCGAACGCCGCACGAGTTGGTTGATTCTGCTTCCCAGAGCCTTGGCACAGCGAGTCCCGAGTCTCCGACGAAGAACCGGGCCTGTGAGACAAGGCGGCTCTGTACAGAACAAAAAAAAAAAGGATAGATCACTTTTGCACCTGGATCCGAGGGCAACCGGAGGCAACGTGGGCTGGGTTGACGATGTCG